AACATGAATACAAGAACAAATTTAGAGGATGTGGGAGGTCAGTCTATGACCAAAACAATTACAGTATAAAAGAAAGTAAAAATATAGGAACAGAGATCCAGGTGATGAGGAGGTCAGGTAGATTGCAGGGTAAAACAGATTGTTTTAAGTGGAGGAAAAATTCATAGAATATAGGATAACTTCAAAGAAAATTACTACTTCACAACATACCGAAAAAATGAAAATCCAAGAACATGGAAACATTAAAAATATGAAGCATAAGAAAAGATACCCATAATAAAAGAAAGAAAAAAATTTCTTTGTTAGCTACCAGGGGTGGAAGGGAAGGGACAGTAGAGCACAGGTTAAGGGACAGATAAATCACAGTTCAGGTGTTTGGGCAACACACAAGGGGAAGGGGATGGAAGAACAAGGTAGATAAGGGAACACTTAGGGAGGTTTGCATAGGCTAAATGGGACAAAGGTAAATAGTGATGTATGCTCAATCTTGGAACAACAGGGCTCTGTGATACAGGGATCGAGGCATAGTCTGAATGGGTAAAAGAGGGGAAATAATATTAAGATGCTTATCTGTCCTATGAATGTTGGTTTCCCTTCCTAGTGTTGTAAAATAGACACTTGAATGGGATAGAAAGGATTTTCAGGAAACATGATTACAGAAAACTTTTAAGCCCATCTTCAGCCTATAACTGATTAGAATACCTAAAAGGGGTTCTAGAACATCCCCCCCAGTGAAATAGGCTTCTTGTGGAGCCTTTGTAGTGTATAGGACCTTAAGTGAAATCCTGAGCCCCATCCAGAACCTTCTGAGGTATGACATTCCCACTTGAAAGTACATGTAGACCAGCCTGGAGAGGCTAGAGGAATAGAATATACTTCTTTAAAGAAAGACCAGCAGGAAAAATCCAAAACAAAAATGACAATTTGATTGTCTACTACAAGAACAAGCAAGTTGTTTGCCAGGTAGCAATTAAGACAATTAATCAAAGTCCCTTCAGCATAAACTCCCTCCAAGAAAGAAACTCAAAGGGAATTACATGAGCCGGCAAGTAAGCTTCCTGGCGACCACATTCTACTGTTGAGAGGAATTGAGGGAAAGGCAGCAATGAAGATATGGGCTGAGTTCAACCATGCTCTATAGACTCCTATTGACCTGGAGGCAAAGGTGATGACATCAAGAGAGAGAGCAGCTGAGGACTCTAGACTCATGGAAAGAGAAAGTCGATGTGCTGGTGGCCAGGAGGCAGGCTTGCAGAATGTACTATTGGGTTGTTTAAATTACTATATATTCCTGAGTGTTTTTGTGTACATACACACACACACAAAACCGCAGGGAATAGAAGTAAATCTGTTGAAAGGTTATGCAAGGCGGGGATTGTAATCATTGCAATGATACAAAATATTATAGGATGAGTGCAAAACTGATGTTGTCCCATGTAAATCATCACTCAGTACACAAAGGGTTTTTTTTTTAAGAAAAGAAAAGAATCTATCTTAAGGAAATGTTCAAATATTTGCAGTGTAATAACAAGAGTAATAATTTGGAAATCATATAAAAGTCTAACAGTGGAAAATCAGACTTTTAAAAATTTTCAGTATCTTTAGACAGAGAGATATACAATTAAGATACAGAAAGCACACCTGTGATAATTAAGCGTTTGCATCCACTTGACTGGACCAGGATTCTCAGTGGTTTGGCTGTTGAGATGTAGTTATCTCCACAATGAAATCTAATATGTAATTAGTTATAATGAGGTCCACTATGAGCAGCCTATCAATTGAAAGTATGTTTCCTTGGAGGTGTGATTTGTGATATATTTGGATTTATTCCTTTTACTTAATTTTTCTTGAGGTATTCTAACTAAATGTTGCTTCCTATTGTTCTCCTTCTTAATTTTTTGCTGTTTGATTATGTTCCTTACAAATTTGTGCAATTTATAATACATAGTTTGTTGTTGTTGTTGTTATGTGCCATGGAGTCAGTTCTGACTCATAGCAACCCTGCATAGGGTTTCTGAGGCTGTAAATCTTTACAGGAGCAGAAAGCCTCATCTTTCTCCCACAGAACAGCTGGCAGTTTCGAAGCGCTGACCATGAGATTAGCAGCCAGATTCGTAAAGCTGTTATTATTTATCCCCTTTGATATTGACATATCAAATTAATAAAGTAATAAAACCTTAGGTGAGGGATAATTTTCCTCTTTTGGTTCATGGTTTAGCCCTTCAACTCTCAACATTTCAAGCTGTTGGTATTTTACAAGTAACAGCAAACCAATTTACATAGTAGTTTCTATTCTTGTAGATAAGCTTAAAATCCCAAAAGCCCACTGGCAATCTTATGAAGTCTCTCTACTTAAAAGTGCCACCTGGAGATCATTTTCCAAGTCACCTTCAATGCCAAGAAGAAATATAAAGCTTTCCATGTTCAAGAAGCCATGACATTCTTGTGTCCACAAATAGCTTATGTGAAAACTAGGCTTCGGTCTTCTGTTCTTGATTCTTTGGCTATCCCCAGATGAAAAAGACAATAAAATACCAATTATATATTCTTTTCTGTAGCTCTTGTATGTCTTCATGACTCAGATTCAAACTCCAAATGCAAAAATTCTACACTCAGAGTGGGATTTGGAAATAACGTGAATGGCTTGGTAAAACCACCAACTTTGCACATTTTACCAACTTTATCCTTTAGTTGTCTAACAGTTTGTACTGTAAAGTCATCATGTAACCCTACATCCCTGAAGAGTATTTATAAGTGAAAACTGTTCTGACTTCCCAATTTGGCAATAACTTTAACCAGAAATAAGTTATAGTGTTATTTGGTATTTAAGTATTAGTATTTGGTATTAAGTATTTAAATAATTGTACCTAAAAAGGTTGATAAGTCAAAGCCTCACAACAGCCTTTTGAGATAAGGACTATTTTTATTTACTTTTCAGAAGAAGAACTTGAAGAACAGGAATAACTACTATGTTAATTAAAAAATATGTCACAATATATATAAGCTATTTTTTTTAGTTCACTATTTTAAAGACATATGTAAATGAAGATGTTATCATATTATTCTACACAAACATTCAAATATGATTTTTTTCCACACCTATATATTGGCATGGCACTTGTGGATAAGCACTGAACTGTGAATCATAAGGTCAGCAGTTCAAACCCACTAGCTGATCCTCATAGTGTCACAAAGAGTCAGAACCAACTCGATGTCGTGTAACAAAAACAACAAACCTGTAAAACTCTTTAGTAATCCAGTTTCAACGATGCTTAAACAATATCGAAATATATCTTCTTCTTATGATATTTTTGTTCTTTTTCAGAAATAAATTACAAGTGTTGACTCAAGAGATAAAAAGGATTTAAATAATTATTAATTAGTGTTTGCCAAATTCTTATGTGTGTTTTGTTACAATGTGAGTATCAACCTATAATCATTTCTTTAATAAGCAAAGTGATATGCATGGGTTTGTTAAACTGAAAACTCATAAGCACAAAAATAATAGAATATGCATAATTTCCTTTGGAGTTTATGAAAATGTTTTGCACAATTCCCTAAAGGGTGCAGTAAAAAATCAATGGATCTTTGATATGCAATATAAATAATTCCCAAAAGGAATTGCAAGGCCTCTTTTTGTTTATTCTAATTTTGAGTATGCAAATATATTCCTTATCTGTACCTTGACTTCAACAATTCACCAATATCCATTTCATAGACCAGGAAAAAAGATCTTATTTATGAATTAAATCATTGTTTGTTGCTAGAAAAGAAATTGAATTTCAAATGAAAAGAGAAGAAAATATAGACAGTAAGATCATCTGAAGTAGGATAACCATATCATTAAAAAAATCTCTTTCAAATTCCATATAAATACTAAAAACAAAGAATAATGAGTATTATTAAGACTACATACTCCATTTAATATTAAACCATTAATATTTTTTTTAAATACACGTACACTTCATTTCTTTTATTCAGACAGATGCTTATATACATACAAGTGGTGCCATTATCTATCATTGTTACCATATATTTGTTGATATTCACCAACTACTACAATATATGTATGTATGTGTGTTTTTAAAAAGACAATGCTTCTTACCGACACATAGGACCATTTTTCTCCACTACACAAGTTCCATCATTTTTGCAATAATTTATCGGGCACTCTAAATAGAAACAACAAAAAGGCCATAGTTAATTATATATATTACTAGACTTTGATCTCTATGCATTGTCTATTCTAGATATTTCATATAAGTGAGGAAAGACAATATTTGTTCTTTTGTGATTGGTACTTTACTCACCATCAGATTTTCAATGTTCATCAATGTTGTAGCATGTATCAGGACTTCATTTCTTTTTATGAGGGAGTAATAGTCCATTGTATGTATATATCACAATTTGTTTCAGGAGGGAGAGGGAAAAGATGAGCCATAGTTTACAAGCATTGAGTTTTGACAACATGACAGATATCACTGGTGTTGCCTAATTGTACAACTGAAAATTGTTGAAATTATAAACAATTGGCCCTGAGGTCAGTTTGAACTGAAAATTTGACAGTTCAAATTCACCAGCCTATCCTCAGAAACTCTATACAGGGTCGCTATGAGTCAGAACCAACTCCATGTACTTAACAACAACAACATGTTATAGTTGCACAATAATGTAAAATAAAAAGAAGAAGAAAACCAAATATTTCATTTTGGGTATTACAGGACATCAACTTTTCTTTGTTAATACTTTTATCTCTCTTTATAAAATTGATATATGAGAGGGCTAAAAAAAGTTTGTGGGAAAAATCCAGTATCTTTTAATTCCATTGTGCCATGAACTTTCCCTCCATCCCTTTGCATGCTTTACAGTGGGATACTTTGAAAGCATAAAACATAATGAAGTAAAATACTTCTTGAAAGAAAGACTGACAGGAAAAATACAAAACAATATAGGCAGTCTGACTGGTTACTACAAGAACAAGCAAGTTGCTTGCCCAGGAGACATCAAGGCAAGTGGTCGGGTCCCCTCAGTGCAAACCCACTTCCAAGACTAAGACTCAATGGGAATACATGCTCTGATTGGTAACCACATTCATCACTAATAAGGGAAGTGAGGGAAAAATAGCAATGAAGCTGCGAGCTAAGCCCTACAATGTTCAATAGACTCCTGTGAACCTGGGTGGAGACATGGTTGGCCAGTAGTGTGGCAAGACCTGGGAACCCTTGAGCCCAGAGTCAGTGACATAGCCACAAAGGACTAGAGTGGAGAGTGAAGCATCCAGCTGATATGAAATGAGGGTATATGCATAAGAACACCAACACTTGCAGATAATACCC